TAAATTTATTAAATGCAAATTAAAAAAGATTAAAAATACTTACGTGTTATAAACTAAAATAAAAACCGTTTCTAATTTTTCATCACAAACTGACACTTAAAATACACTTTATTTCTTACTTTCAATAGTTAATGTAAGTTTTAAAAGTTGAAATTAAACCTTTTAACGATTTCCGTCCTTGCATAAATCGAATTCAAATTACTTTTAGCTTATGCACGTGTCCGATAAAGAGCGTTTTATCTTGAAATAAATCTTATTCTAACGAAGAATAAATATTAACGAAGTGTTTTCACCATTTGCAGAGTATCATGCTAACGGCCGCCTTCGCTCGAAGCTGAAGCGGCACTGAAGAGCTTTAAGTTAGGGGTGAGTTTACAGAGCTTACTGTAAACTTCTGATGAAACTTAATTACAACGGATTTGTGTCTGGTGCCTTCGGATCTTATTATTTTCGCTGTGATTACTCATGTGCTTCGAAAGATTAATCAGTTATTACTTATTCGATTACGAAAAATGGTCTCCGAATATAGTATTAAATCAATGGGTCAAAAGTATAATTTTATTCTATATAAAATGTAAAAGAAATTATAAAATAATAATAACTAATATAATGTTTCTTTTACTAAAAATTTCGATCAAAATTTTCGTTTGTTTTTAATCGTGGTAACTAATTTTTTTTAATTGAGTTAATTTTTAATAATAACGCTCATTTTTAATTGAGTTCATTCTTTAAAATGTTTATTTATATATACAAATTAATTGATAAATTAGTTAATTAAAAAAAAACTAAATCTAGTAACTTAATTATCATACAGTCGTTTTCCCCGCGGTATCGTGCCAAAAACGTTGGCTGCATTTCCCCGCTGAATGGGCTATACTTAGCCTTTGAGCGAGAAAAGAACTAGCCCTATTATTACCAGCAGCAAAGACCAGCCGCGGATGGAGTTCGTTTAGGAACTTCACCGCACGTGAACCCTACGGACCAAGTTTAGTCTTTATTTAATGACGAAGATGTTTCATAATATATAAATAGATTTATGTTCATGCCATTTTAAAGCGACGGTAAATTAACGATAGGGTCGGACCGTGAACTCTAGGCCGTGAATTCATGAATACGAATCCGCCATTCGACTACTGTCGTGACGTACTCCTTACACAAGTATTTTGACGGCTCCGTGGCGCAGTGGCTTAGCAATAAGTTGCTGCGCTGGGGGCCGCGGGTTCGAATCCCGCACGGAACAAGTATTTGTATGGCCTACAAATAATTGTTCCGGGTCTGGATGTTTGTCTTTGTGCAATTTGTGTTTGGAAACTGTCTCCACGATACAGGAGAAAATCCTAGTGTGGGGGTAAAAAAACAAACACAAAAAAAATTTAAAACTTACTCAGAGTGGTTAACACGAATATTGAAAACGTTAATTGCTATTTAATGTTAATGGCATTACTAGTATTTTATTAATAAATCTGGTAATTATAGATTCTGCTATTATATTTAATGGACCTCTTGAAATATTCCACTGTAGGATATGAATGTTTCCAATATTGAATGAAAATTTTATCGTAAATTATATCGTATATAATTATATCGTAGTCTCTAATCGTATTGTATTTTATTAATAAAAACGATGGCTTTTGACAAATTGACAAAAACAAGATCATATTTTTATATGTCATTAGATATTGACCTCAATTAATTTTTTTATAGGATAAGTTGGCAAGCGAGCACACATTCCACCTGATAGTAAGTGGTTGTGTGGACTATAGACATCTACATCTATCTTCGATTACGAATCAAAACGCAGATGCGTTGTCACCTGTGAGGACTAAGATGTAATACCTCGTTTTCAGTAAAAAGGGTGTACCGTTTTCTACATTCACCATACGAAACACAGAAGAGTTAAGCTGCTATTTTACGCCGGTATTCTGTGAGAGCGTGGTCCATCCCCGGTCGAGCCAACCCATTCATGCTACAACTATACTACTAACATAGCTGCAGCATGGTAATAAGGCCTAAGATCTAATGCCCCTTTTCCAGTTAAAATAGTTACCGGTTGTCTACACTCACCATACGAAACACATATCATTAAGCTGCTATTTGAAGCAGGTATTTGGTGAGAGCGTAGTCCTTCCCCGGTCAAGCCGAACAATTCGTGCTATAACCATAATATAGTATCAGTGTTGCTCTACCACGTGCAAACCTTCATTCGAGGGTAAATAAATATCATTTAATGTTATGCATATTTAATAAAACAAATACAATCCCTTTTTTAAGAGTTCTAAATAGCAAACGGATTTATAAATGAACAATCTGGCAACAGTTTCAAAATTAGCATGGATAATAATTTTCTTTACATACTGAATTCCATATTTTGTTAAAAGATGGGTTCGATCGAGTTTGAACCGTAGTCATCAGCTATTGCAATAATGCCTTCAATAGGTATAAGAATATTCGGGGTTTCAAAAATACTCTGAAGGTATTTCGTTGTTTTAGATAAAAGATGTAAAGAAAAGAGCGAGAAGGTCTTCATTTACTAACTTTAGACACTTGATTTTCGCCTCTAACTACCTTGCATAGATTTGACACTAATGAAAGTAAAGAAGCGGTTTTAATTAATGACCTGTTATGCCTCACTAAGCTCACGCTTTCATCAATTTTTACTGTCTACTATATCAACATAAGTACATTATTCGATGTAAAGTTTATTATACGAAATATTTTTTAGCTAAATTCTATCAAACATATCGAGACACTTTAGGTGAAGTTACTTTATTAAATAAAAATATAACTTGATTTTATTACATTAACACCATAAAAGTTCGGTGCTACCCTATGATATTAAGACAAGATAGGCTGTGAACGCTGTCAAAGCCATAATTCGACATAACCCTATATGTAAACAAAAAATATTATTGTCTCAAACGAAGAAGGGGGTGTCCTACAAAAAATCTCGAAGCTTCATTTTTATTAAAATTAATTAATTGAGTCATTCAAAAAAGTTTATCAAAACACAGTTTTGAACAAAACTGTTCCTAGTCACAATGCGGACTTGAGAACAACATTTCGGATTCCATAAAAGCTGAAAACTGGCCCTCGTCGTGGCCACATCTAACACACTACAAATTACGATTAATAGTAAAGGATGTAATTTGATCAAAACGTAACTCCGGAAAACATAAAGTCTTTCATAAATTCTTAAGATCTAGTAACGGCTAAATTCCCTGTAGCGATAGTGCGGAAGTCAATGGATACGTGGTCACAGATATTATAGGTCAAATTATTTAAGAAAGCGCTGTTATTTAGTATATGTGCTTTAAAAAATCGCTACAGAACAAGTCAATCAAGATTTGCTGGATAGGAACATTAGGGGTAAATGCTACAGTTTTGCGTTAATGCGTTAAATTTGAGCGGAGAATATGATAGTATATATTTTTTTTTTATAGGATAAGGGTGACAAACGAGCACACAGTCCACCTGATGCTAAGTGGTTGCTGCGGCCCATAGACATCTACATCTATCCTCTATTACAAATCAAAATGTAGATGCGTTGTCACCCGTGAGGACTAAGATGGAATGCCTCATTTCCAGTAAAAAGGGCCTCCGGCCACCTGCACTCACCAAACGAAACGCAGAGGTAAGCCTCTACTTCACGCTGGTTTTCTGTGAGGTCGTGGTACCACCCTGGTTCGAGCCGGCCCATCCGTGCGACAGCAAAAGCTGCCGCGTGGCTCTACCACTGTTAAATATGTTTCTAGGAATAAAAATTTTAAAGTATGAAATCTTCATTTAATATTGGAAATTCAAATACCTTTTATTTTAAGAAAAATATATCTATATTTCTTTAATCAAAATATTTACCCTCATTATCTATACATTTATGTCATATGGATGATTCATGCCTTTGTAATAAAACTCTGGGGACCTGGTCCTCCACAAAATCTGTGAAGGCATATTTCACCGTTACTTAAGACATTTATTTACATGCAGAGTATCGTCCGAATTGTGTAAAGTATAGTAATTGGTTGTGGCTAGATCTATCTAGTACACGTGATAACGTATAGTTTCTAATAGCAGATTTTGTAATGTTGAAACGGTTGCAACAAATAGTTACTATTACTTATCTATGGGTGAGCCTAAACCGAATCCGAAAGGCATTGTTCCGGCCAAAGTCTCTTTACTTATGTACTCATGAAAGCAATAATAATAATATAAAGCATTTTGATTTAGATTTTTTTTATTTCACCAATTTAGTGCAAATGCTTTAATATTGTAGATAAACAAACATCAGGCCATGACACTACCTGGATGCTGGTTGGACGCCGGAACTCGTCTTCGAAAATTAAACGGATGTGGCTAATATTGAATCTAAAACAGTTGAAAGTCACACAAGGTATTGTAGTTTTTTAATGTTTTTTCGTGTAAAAAATGTTCAATAACATCCCTTGGACCATGCAGCTTTAATATAAATTCAAAGTGGCCACTTCATTAAAATGACAACTTCATACTTTAACCCCGGTGGAATCCTCAGGTTTGTGAATTTAATAGAAAATGTTTTCAGCTCCTATTGCCAGTTATGAAGTAAAGTTGTGCTTGCTCTATTTTTACTGCTGCATATTATTGACTGTGGTAAATAAAAAAAATACTTTCAGTAAGTGTTATTTAATAATCTATATTGAATAAAATTTTCTATTCTGTTCTGTTGTATTCTATTGACTATGCTTATTATTCTATTGAAAAGTCCGGGACTCGACGGACTGCATCACTACTGGCTGAAGGGGTTCTTGGTGTGTTACGCTGTGCTCGCCCGACAGTTTCAAGCGGCTCTCGACCAAAAGTCGCTTCCGAGCCTCTTCACTAGTGGGTACACTCATTTGATTCCTAAAGATCGGGATTGCACAGACCGGAGCAAATACCGCCCCATTACGTGTCTACCCACCATATATAAGACACTGACATCCATTTTGAGTACGCAAGTCATTCGCCACCTGGATTTAAATTAGGTTATGTCAAGTGCTCAAAATAGATGCCGGGGCGGTGGTCGTGGAACCAAGGAACCACTCCTCATTGAAGCGGTCATTGGCAAAGTGGTTAAACGCAACCGTCGGAACTTCTCCGACGCCTGGATAGACTATAGAAAGGCATTCGACTCGGTGCACCATACATGGCTAAAGAGGGTCCTCGAGCTGTACAAGGTTGACTGTACAGTAAGAGACTTCTTCGGGCAGTGTATGGAGCAGTGTAGTACAATCCTTTGTCATCTAGGCGAGCGGATGACGGATGCGAAAAGCCGCATAAGGATAAGAAGGGGTATCTTCCAGGGCGATTGCTTGAGTCCAATCTAATTCTGCCTCTCTTTGAACCTTCTCAGTACCTTACTGGAGGGCTCCAGGAGGGTATTTCAACTTCGGAAAGGAGGTACAAAAGTGACCCACCTTTTCTATATGGATGATCTTAAGTTATTCGCCTCCAATCGCTCCCATCTTATGGAATTGCTAAACATCACTTGTGATTTTAGCAACTTTATTGGAATGGAGCTGGGGACGGATAAGTGTGCAATCCTCCATTTTGAAAGGGGAAGGGTTGCTAATTCTGAGGGCATAGACTTATCTTTGCCCATCAGCATAAGGACCCTTTCCGAGGCTGAAAGATACCGATACCTGGATATGTCACAGAACATCGGTGTGGATGAGGCGGGTATGAAACGGTCAGTTTGCGATGTGTTTTATGCACGATTGACCAAAGTTCTTAACAGCCTTTTGTCCGATGTGAATAAGACACACGCATATAACGGTTGGATCATGCCTGTTCTCATGTATACCTTCGGCATACTCAGGTGGACTCAGACCGAACTGAAGGCTCTGGACAGAAAAGTTCGCACTATTATGACGTCCCACAGGATGCCTCATCCGAGATCATCGGTAATGAGGCTGTACTTGCCGCGAAAGCAGTGCAGAGCATTCCCGACCGGGAGACCATGACCATGAGACGCTCTTCATGAGCCTTTAATAGACACAGTCGCCTCCCTCCACTAGCTACGTTTCGGTGACCTCTTTGGGGAAACCGAGGGTTTTGTCTATGCAATACAGGATCAGGTTATTAAGACCAACAATTATCGGAAATACATCCTAAAGGATGGTGCCGTGGACATCTGTCGAGCTTGTTGCCATCCCGGTGAATCACTTAAACATGTCATCACCGGTTGTTCGGCGCTTTCTAACTCTGAGTATTTGCAAAGACACAACCTAGTAGCCAGCATTCTACACCAGGATCTCGCTCTGAAATATGGTCTCGTGGATCAGAAACTACCATATTATAAGTACTTGCCGGAAGCCGTGCTCGAAAATGACCGCGCCAGGCTCTACTGGGACCGGGCCATCAATCACAGACAGGACTATTCTTGCGAATAAGCCTGATATTGTGCTAATGGACCGGGCACAGTCAAGGATATTATTGGTCGACATTACCATTCCTTACGACGAGAACCTCGTGAAAGCCGAAACAGATAAGCTGACAAAATATCTGAACCTGGCTCACGAGGTGGTCTGCCGACCGAAATTATTCCTGTGGTCGTTTCTGCGAACTGGTTAATCCCAGTCAGCCTATTGGGTCATCTGAGGCGGCTGAGACTCCGTGACGGATCGCTCCAAGCTCAAATGCAGAAGGCGGTGCTCCTCGATACCGCCCGCATCCTCCGCTTCTTTTTTTCCCTTTCCTCCTAACCCTCGGCCGTTTGGTCTCGCCTATCGAGGGTTTTTATATATTTATGTATTTTTTATGTAATCATTTTATTTTATTGATATTTATATATGTTTACCATGTTCATTTACAATTATATATTTATACTGCCCAACCATTTGAGAAAACTTTATAGATACCCTAATAATAATTTATTAATAATTATAATAATCTTTATTCGCAAGAATATGGTTGTACAATGGTGTTTGAGTATAATTTGTTCTACATATTCTACCTTAGTGGTGTGCAAATATTAATGGTCAAGTTTAGGTAACTAACTAACAACAATACTTATCGAATTTAACAACATATAAATTATTTAATATTATTCAGTTGATTTGATAATTAATTTACTATGCTACAGTGTCCGAAAAATTCAAATTAGATATATAAGTAAGTATTATTACATCAAGTAAGATTATTATTATAGTTCATATTAATTAATATTCTTATGTCAATATTTATATAATGTCAATTATAAATGTTACATCCAATTGTCATTAATTTCTTTCTATTTTTACATCAAATTTATTAATTAATGAAATAAGTTAAATTTTATACAAAATATTATTTATATTATTTAATTATATACAATATTAAAAACTATAATATTATATTAAATAATATCAAAAACATTAATTCTTTAAACATTAGAATGTGACGTGTAATTAATTATATTCTAAAAATATCATTCATTCGTACTCGTATGTAGGTCGTTGTCGATTAAGAACTCTTCTACAGAATAATAACATTTAGTGAGCAGCAATGCCAAGACAGATTTCTTAAATGACAATTAACTTTTAGGTTTTAAATTATCAGATAATTTATTATAAATTCTTATTGAAATTGCAGATGCATTTCTTTTTGTAACTTTCAGACGATTTGCTGGTGCATATAACCTATTCTTGTATCAACCCTTATTTTCACTCACTTCACACTTACGTTGAAATAAATGTGGATGTTTATGAACAAACATGCACATTTCAAATATGTATAATGAAGGCAAAGGCAGGATCTTTTTTATTTTTTGAACAAAGGTTTGCAACTCACTAAAGGGCCAACACCACAAAGAGCTCTGATGCAGCGTTTTTGTGCTTTAAATACTTTATCCGAATCCACCGAATACCCCCAGAGTAGAACACCATATCGTAGTATGGATGAGATGTCTCCATGACATGCTATCAGTGCTGCTCTTTCTGATATACAATTTCTCAGTCTATGCAGTGTAAAAACGAAACGATCTATTTTAGTACATAGGCTTTCTATATGAGGCTACCAGCTACAAAATTTATCAAATATTATTCCTAGAAATGTTTTGGAAGCGGCTTCTTCAATTATCGAGTTGTTATATGTGAGTATATATATATAATGTCATTAAAAATGTTTCTGAGGGTTTTATATTCAATAAATTTCGTCTTATTTATATTTATATCTAAATTATTTATATTCATCCATTGTATGACCTCATTTAGAGCACCATTAGCTGCGATTTAAAGTGCAGATCTGTTATTACCTTTAACTATAAGAGTAAAGTCAGGAAGATCGTTAATGTATATTAAGTATAGCAAAGATCCCAGTACACTGCCTCATGCATGGAGCATTGTATTCACCATCGGATGGCTCACCGAAATAACAAGTTGCTGCACTCGACTCAGTGGAATGCAGGGCCAAGAGGCTTATTACCTATAAAATGTCGATGGAAACTAAGCTTCACAGCTTATCTTACCACCGCCAAGTTGCTTGTTTATTGATCTTCTACAGATTGTACTTCGGAGTGTGTTAATAAGCTTCATAAGCTCATACCTTCATCTCCATTCTACTATCGGAGTACTAGACATACTGCAGGTGACCATACCATATAATTTTTAAGTACCAATCAAAATTATTGAGTACGTTTTGAATCATAATTTACTTAACACGTCAAATATTACCTAGGAGTGCCACAAATGTATTGATATACCAGATTTTTTTAAAGAATGTACAGGAATAGTGAGAGGATGCTTGTCGGTTGGATGAAGATGACAGACGCGGAAGAAGGTAATAATCTCAAAGCGGTCCTGCATGTAACAAGGTGTGGATAAATTCACAGCACGCAGAAAGCATGAGCATTCTTGCGAAAGCAAATCGCAAGCAATTTAAGACATTTACGAAATCCTGTAATGTGAACATATTTATTTACGGAGCCCAAATATGAACCTCAAGCACAAATTCTGAATTCACTCAAGTTTATTTAACTGCGCTGGAGTAGTATCAAGATAGTTACTATGTCTATTTATTTTCTATATATATATATATATATATATATATATATATATATATATATATATATATATATATATATACTAGCTCGCCAGGCAGACGTTGTTCTGCCCTTTCCAACGCCCCTTCCTATAAAAATCCTTAAATTCGCAATAAAAAAATTTTAGGATCATTTGTCGGGATAAAAACTATCCTATCTCTCAAATTGGAATAAAATGCACACAGTGTGCAAAACGTCATTGAAATCAGCTCAGTAGTTCAGGAGTCCATCGTGGACAAACAACGTGACACGTTTTTTTTTTATAGGATAGGGTGACAAACGAGCACACAATCCACCTGATGGTAAGTGGTTGCTGCGGCCCATAGACATCTACATCTATCCTCGTTTGCGAATCAAAATGCAGATGCTTTGTCACCCGTGAGGACTAAGATGGAATGCAATTTTTATATATAAAGATATATGTTTAGGCCATTTAACATTTAACATTTTAAAAACTTCCATTCAAGACGCGCGTCTCGGCGTGTCCTGCCGATGTAATTTAAGGTCACCGGCCCCCTCTCCTGGGCGGGTCTCTCGGCTGACCGCTCGAGTCTGACTCATCAATTGTGCGCGTCCGCTGTGTCGATTAGACGGCCTGGAATTTTACGCTCGGAACCGCCTCCTTTGCGTTGTGTTATTTCGTTCGTATATGTGACAAGAGGCTTTCCTTGAGTTTTGAGTGATTAATTTAACTTCGATTGCCATTAATTTGCGTCAACTAGTTGTTGTTTGTGTGGCATTTTAATATCGTACGAAGGAATTTTGCTTTGTCGAGTGGAACGCTAAAACTTTGTGACTCGAGAGGAGATCGCGTGTACTCGATTATAATTTCATGCTAAGTGAACATGGTACATTGAACTTTGACCGACCTTTCTTAAGTTGTGCAGTGTGTCACTCGTTTTAAGTTCGATTAACGTTGATTTAGTTAAATTTGAAGTTAATTAAATTTACAATAAAGTTGATAAACTAGTATAATGAAACAAAAGCAGAAAATCTATATTGGGGAACGCCCACTGGAGTTGCTCTGCTCTGGTGGGTCTGCTCTCAGATTACATCGGTGACGTCAGGTTACATCTACACACTTTCACACACTACTTACATACACCTTACTTACCACCTGACTGCGCCTTGTGGTCGACACTACCTCCGGAACTCAGTAAGTTTGTGCTTGCTTATCAGCCATTATTTAATAATTATCCATAAGCCATTTGGGCCCGAACCCTCTGGTTGCTCGTCGAGGGATCACTGGTCCAATCGACTTTTGTCGGGGCAACTGAGGGCCGTAACAATATATATATATATATATAT